GTCTTTGATCGGCTTAGTGAGTTGTGCGATGCCGATACCTTTGAAGGGTGTGCTAGTAAGAACTCTTGCAGCACTGGCCAGATCACCAGAAAGTTCCTCTATTGTTTGGCAAAGCTTGGAGGCTGCTCAGTTTTTGTGCACTATACCAACAACGAGTAGTTATCAGCCGAGAGGTGTGCAAACGGAATTAGAAGAGATCGAATCTAGGAACGAGGAGTATCCGTTAACACGTGCCATGTTAGAACTATTAGATGTACTTACTGATTTCCCAATACCACGTCTGCTGGGTGTAGGCCAACGAAATCCAGGATTTGATCCGTATTTGCATTTCATTATCAATACTGTCTTTCTAAGATTTCACACTCGTTCGTACAAAAATCCTGCTGAAAAGTGGGAGGTAGCGGAAGCTTGCTTGAAGATATTCTCAAAATTGATAAAGCAGTACGAACCAACTGTTGAAGATTTTGTGGGCTGCAAAGTTGAGTTACAAGGCGGCGAGTCCACCTTGGTCAATTCGGCTCCGGGATATCACTTAATGACGCAATTACACACTAATTCGGAGCTATTACACGTGATATTATATATCATGGATGAGGGTTGCAATCATTTCGATACTTACGACAGTTTTCCAGGCAAAAAGTATCTCGAAAGTTGCAGTCTTTATTGCTTGGAGATATTGGAGCGTGGATTAAAGATGCAAATCAATTATATGACGCAGTTGACTGTCATACCTGTAAACAAAATTATGACTGGACTGTCACGTTTGCTACTAGGGGTGAACCCTCGCACGGGTAAACCAGATCATATGATTAATATCGTCAAATATGTTTCTTACAATTCATGGCTACCGAAACAAGCTTTTGTGGCAGTTGGTGTTATTCATGGTGTGACTAATGAGCCTGGAGCAGATTCTGAATTGCTATCGACGTTTACAGCAACTTCTACTTTAGCGACGAATGTCAGGCACGGCTTTGTGGAATGCCTAGACGCGGATAATATCTCAGAGGATGACGACGAGACAATTAGAATGGATGATCAGAGCAGGCAGATTGGAAATTGCAAAGAAAGAATTCTACTCTTGATGATGCACAGTATCACACGGCCTGCGCCAAATCTTGCTCATTACTTGCTCGGTTTTGAAATAACTAAGGACATTAGGAAAACCATTATTCAGCAGCCGGGAATCCTCGGATTCCCGCGTACTTGTCTGCACTCCATACTGGGCATTTTGGAGCAATCTCTTGAGCGCGGTCGCGACAAAATAACTGAAGCTTGTTATTGTTACCTTCATACATTAGCGGCTAATAGCAAAACATCAACACCTGTTCTCAGATTTTTACGTACTACGAGTAATCAGGACTTCGTGCAGAGACATCTTTCAAAATTACCATTTCAAGGGCTAAATAAGTCGACTGAGCTTGGCTGTATGTCTTGGTTGTTGAAAATAGCAGCTATCGAGTTGCGAGTCGCTGGTGGTAGTTTACAGACTTCTCTGATTCACCGATTGGTGGGAAGTTTCAGTCAGGACAAGGACCAGATTGTACCTTCTCAGAAGCTTCTGATGGATCTCTTACATTACATCGATTTCCAATTATATCTGGAACCTACGAAATCATGGGAATTCTTCGATCCATCAGAAATTGAGAAGGTACAGAGTAAATGCAGTATTCCAGTCGCATTAATGGGCGGTCCATCACTCATCGATATCAGGAAACTACATTCTCTCATCACCGAAGAATTAACGGTTACGCAGAGCAGCGCAACTGCTACCCAACGCAAGCTTATGCAGCAGGAAGTGAAGTTTATACTTGCACATGCTTTGAAGAAGAATCAGACGAAGGTCTTATCCTACGCAACTGTTAAATTCGTAGAGGGTTGGTGCCAAACTACAGAGATACTTTTCTCCGTTGCGACGAATCAACAATTGCCGGTGGCTCAAAGGCAAAATCTTCTGCTGAATTTGTCGCATGACTTGCTACAGAAGATGACGTCCTGCGAAGCTTTGAGTGAGATTAAAACGTTAGTATCCGGCACAGTTCTAATGCTACTGGTAAACTTACGAAACAGTTTTGTGATTCAATCGGACAACGAGTTACTGCCATCATCACCATCCAACACAACGATGATGAAAATTATTTTAAGTCACATCTTACAATGGATCATAAACGCTGGTGCATCCTCGCAGAAAGTCGTGACACATCTTTATGCGGCTTTATTAAACTTTTTGAGTATCGTTGGCTTAGAAAAATCCGAGCACATAAATGCGATTGATTCTATGTATATTAGCCAATTGGACAATTCATTAAACAAGCTTATGCCCGTGCAGGAACGCTCACAACGTTACGCGACGATTCAGGTCATCAACAGTTTCGGAAATCAGTTAATGGATATTTTATGCCACAATTGCTCGGGTGGACACGACGTGTGTAAAATGCTCGCGTTGTCCTGCCTGGACAAAATCTTAGAATTGGATTATGATAACGCGTGGATGATCTATTTAGCAAGCAGAGGCTATTTGAAGCATATGATAGACAGTCTATTGGAATCAGACAATTTATTGCGAGACATGCTGCAACCGGAGCCGCAGTCGATGCGGCCTTTGTACCTGTACGAAGCAAAGATGGCAATCTTCTGTAGGATGGCATCAACGAGATCAGGCGCAGAGAACTTACTGGAGAACAAGATCTTGTCCTGTATGTCCAGTATGTGCGCATTTGGTCAGCATCCTGACGTGAACCAAGGCTTTGAGGGCGGCGATTATTCGTTCATACCTTCGGTCGGGCAACGCTATCAGCAAATTTTCTTACCAGCTTTATATCTCTGCGATGCTCTATTCACCACGCTAGGAACGGAGAATCAATCGTGCGCCGTGCAAGTTTGCGGATTTCTACAGAGTCACAGGGACACTGTGGAAATGGCTCTAAGAAATGCAGTCTCGCACGTCAATGTCCTTTTCTTAAAGGAAATTGCGTGTCTCACCGGTGTAATATCTAGATCTGCTAATATAGGTTTGTATACTTATTATAAAATAACTATTGTGAATTGTTCTTACATTATTATGCGCTCATCTAAATGTAATTGCTTTTCAGATATGTACAAACTCGTGGATGAAGAATTGGCAAAAATAAACATAGACGATTACAAATTAGAGAGCAGCACTGGGATGAGAGAGTTGCGAGCGCATCTGTACCGATTACAGAAGTCGATGTTGTCGTTGTTAAACAAATTTCAATTGCAGTCGATTCCGATAAATCACAATTACCAGCAAGCCGACGCAAACCAGCAATATATTTCTTGCATACAGATAGTTGCTAACGTCATGCTGTATACACGTAATCAAGTAATGTCCTAAAATATAGTGAAATTGTACATGACAATCTACTAGAAACACTTTTACAAATTCTCATATTACAAATGAATGCTTTCAGATGCAACATAGTCGTATGGATCAGAAAATACGGAATGTGCTATTCGATCCTCATTTAATACCAAAACCTGGAAGAAAGCAGGACAAACTGAAGGATACCTCTGGTGGAGTGTGTTTAGGCACAATTGTCGAACAGTTGGTTTCCGTGACAAATTTGCTGCACACTGAGTTGCCGCATATTGATTCCTTAATAAAGAAAGCCCAAGTGATAACCGACATGAGTACAGCGGAATTAAAGAAAGTAAGTAAATCTTTCAATTGACTTTATTACTCATGTAATACATATATTAAAGTTTAATACTATTGTTTTTATTGATAGTACATGTCTGAAAACGAAGTAGAACTCGATATAGGAAAACAACGAATACTTGTTGAACAAAAATTAAATCGCTGGATAAAAGATAAACGACAAAGCATAAAGTATTGCTCTCTTATAATAGAGCACGCTTTGTACATTCTTTGGAGTCACTTAGATTTTTATACTATGCAAGTCATATCACGGCAAACCCAAAGAGTGCACGGTTAGTGAAATATTCAATTTTTCATTATAAAGAATAAATTTGCGTTTATAGTGTACATCTTATAAATCTTCATAAAAATTGAATATTCTAATATGTTTATTCATATAGTATCTTCGGGTGGTGTTGACGAAAGCATGATAGAATGGAAAGTTTCGTCAGAAACGCTAATGGAGCTGAAGCAAGGACTTGTTTCTACATTTACGGATACTTTCATCACACAATTGATGGACACAACACACAGTGAATACGCAACAGTGGATCGTAGCTTTATCGAAGCTCTCATAAGACGAATTAAAAGATTGTTACAATTTATAATTATAAAATAATGAAGAATTAACGTTTGCATCTACGGACATAGTTTCAATTAATTAAATTTTTTTTTTATTGTACTTTATATATTCCATTTATCATTAATCACCATTTATTATATAGAATAGATATGAACAGTATTTACTTTACTGAAATCGATTAAATTTTATGTAGGGTAAAGCGGAGTTATTCCATCAATTTCAAATTTAATCACGGAAACTGTGGCAGCAAATTATTTTCCTTTGCAGTAACGTGCTTACAACTACGTTGCATGTACAATTGTTTGAAAACGTAAACACGACTTTCTAATGTTGAATATGTCATTTTTCTCATCATGGAATCTACGCCGTTTAAAAACATAAATACTATCGGTAGCCAGTTGCTTTATGAATAAAAAAGCCTCGCTCTATCCTATGTAAAATCAATTTTGATCTGTTTATATAAATGAATCAAAGAAAATTATAATCATTTCCTTATATCATTCATTCTCTTTTACACTTCTTGCAAAATATGTTAGTAGATTATATTAACTTTCTTCTTCCAAGTTCTCTTTTTCTGACATTTTTGTATTTTGTAATGAAATATATTGTCAAATTATTTATTACATGAATATAATAGATAAACAATATGTAAAGATGTGATAAATATAAAATATTGTGTATTTATTACATTTATATTTACTATAAAAAGTACACAATTTTAAATTACGTATTTGTTAATATATACATATTCAAGTTTATAACTATGATTGATACTCTTAAAAAAATGTAATTCTATTCTTTTTTTAAGAAGCGATTACTGCCTCGTCCCAAGGACCATAAATGTTATCTTTATATTTTTGACACCTGATATACCAGAGTGGACAAATGAAATGGATGAATATTACAGCAATAATAAAAACGTAAGAAAATATTTGTGAAACATGTAAAAGTAAATATATGGTACCAATTGTCAGAACAGTTGATATAATAATTTGATTATTTATTTGCGACAGTAGATAAGGTAATAATACAAAGCACTGAACTGAAACTGTTAAAAGCGAAAAGGCATGTAATGGTGATGCTAATCTAGAGGCCAACATTAACGAGCCAAAGATTGAAGAAGTTATGGACAAAGAGTCTGAAAGAAAGATATGTGACGATCCATATTTGCTGAATATTAAATGGGTCAAGAACATAAATATCGTCATAGCATATATTGTATCGGTACTGATTGTTTCTGTCAAAGTTTTTAAAATGGGTGATAATATATATCCAAACGTTAGAAATATTAATACTGTCCACAGATCCTTCGTTGGTTTTACAGATCGATCTAGTACTTTCATGTTGTATGTAAAATATCCAAGAATCGTCAACATGCTCCCTGATATTACGATAACATTCGGAGTGGTCCATTCGTTGTTTAGCCAAATAAATACCATGACGAAAAGTACAACGACACTCAATCTCGTGGATATGCTGGCACCCAAGTTTATCGCTTCTATTATCGTTACATTATTCGGTTTTATATTTTTACGTAATTGCTCTAAGAAGGAACTGTCCGTGTAATTATCCGGCAATCCGTAATTTTCATACAAATTTTTCTGCCACTGTACGTCTTTCATTCTGAGCTAAGTATACACCTTTAAAAAAATTTTTATTTCTATAAAATTTCAAATAAGTTTATGTATCTATCAAAACACTTAAAATATTAAAATCTCTCATTAGTTAACAATAATATAAAAATCTCTTATTCATGGATGTAGCCAGGAGGAGCAAAGGAGTCTCTCTCTACATCTTAAAAAATAAAGATAAAATCCCGCTTAAATGCTCAATAAGTATTTATAAAAAATTAATTTTGATAAAAAAGAAAGAATCGGAGGTGAAAGTTACAGAAAGATTATAAATGAAAACCCCAGTGTTCTAAATTTAAATTTTTTATTTAGAGAATCAGTTTACAATTTTAAGAAAAAAATAAATTAGTAAATAATATTAAATACAATCTTTTAAAATCATAATATAAATACAACAAATTGAAAATAAAAATCCTAAATGATCAAACTGGATTTTTAGCTTAAATAATTCTGTGTGAATTTATATATTATATCCATTGCAGGATTGGATGTAGTATATAAATGTAATATACAATATAAAATCACACGGAATTAGTTAAACACTAAGTATCCAGCTTGACTGTTTAGAATCTTTTTGGATTTGTTGTAAATTAATAAATTAAATGTGACTTTGTGAATTGTCTACCAGTAATTCATAATTAAAAATAATAATATAAAACAAAACAAATCCACCATTCCATACCACTCAACTACTCTTTTCATCCCAAAGTTCAAAAGTCATAACTCTAATTTGGCCCTTCCTGAACAAAATCCTGGCTACGCCCATGCTTTTATTAACAATAATAATATTAAAATCTCTCATTAGCTAACAATAATATTTAAATCTTTCATTAATTAATAATAATAATGATTATATGCAACTGCTTACCGCTTCTCACGAGAAACTACTACTAACTAAACTCCACATCCTTTTTACATTTCTGTGGACTTTGCCAATGGAAACTGAAATAGAATCGTATTTTTTTTTAAATCTCAACTGGGATCATTAAAGTTACATTTACTGAAAATTATTTGACATACATCACAAAAACGTCATATTTTTCCTTTCGTGATCACAGCTGATTACAGCTAATTCGAGTAAGCAGCCGTGGGTAACTCCTTGTACATGTACGAATATTCGAGGTGAGCGCAAACGACATGACCGATCGTCGCACTCGCTGACGCTGCAGCACGTCGCCATCTTTTCCCTCGTCTGGGAAACCCACCCGTCGGGGAGAATTATCATCCTCCGAGATCTTGCGCCCTGGGAAATTTGTCAGAACTATCCGCGGGAGACGCGCACTGGCGGCGGACTGAGCAAGTTTTGCTGCTTTTAGTGGAATTTATTTTCAAAATGGCTGCTACGAGGAGGCTGCAAAAGGTAAATTCGAGGTAGCCGTCGTGAATCAGTCCTGCGAAATTCAACGAGGTCGGTCGTGGCGAGCGTCATCGCGGACGCCCTTTCTCACGCAAACGGTCGGTGCTCTCCCCCCTCCAGCGGGCACGGGTTCTCGCACGTCAGTACCCGGTCCTCGCCTCGTCACTGACGTCGATTGGGCCGTCGACACTCTTATATAGTCATTTATAGTCCCTTCGTCGACTCGGGAAGGTCGTCCTTACGTTTCGGGCCTGTCCAGCGTGCATCGTGCCCTCCCCCTCCCTTCACTTCTCTCCGTTCGGTCTCGAAACCCGGTGCGACGAAATGACCATGGGACCCCGCAAAGCACTCAACCTGTGATGACTTTTTCCAGGAACTCGGCGACCTCAGGGCGTCGGCGATGAAGAACTTCACAAATATTCAAGTAGACGAGTCCAATATCCTCAACTGGCAGGGCCTGATATTGCCGGTACGTTGACGCACGCCGTCGTCGTATCCTCCGGGGGAATACGTAACCTAAAATACGCGCGCGCACGGGTGCAAAGTGCACGTCCGTGAGTCCTCGTGTGACTCTGTGATTCGTCTCGTTCCTCTCTCAAGTTTATTTCTTACGTTTCTTTCATATTCAAGATGGGAGCGTAACTTATTCTTGAGAGAGAGGAAAAAAAATAAAAGATGTAATTATTTAATGCATATCTAAAATACATTAATTGGATCAAGTGAATTTGTACACGTTCATCATTTAATCGCTTTAATTCGGACACTGATAAAATCGATTCGATCTGTTTTTATCCTTTGTATGGAAAACATTTTCAATATGAGTGGAATATTCATTTTCAAAATCATAGAATACATTTCGATATTCCACGCTGGAAAGTCATTTAAATGAATGTATGAAAATTTATATACTTGATTAGCGATATGTAAATACTGGATAAGTTTGTTGCATTGGATAAGTTTATATTGAAGAATATAATGTATAAGAATATAATGTACAATATGTTAATTATATATTATATAATTTGTAGACTGTAATCTCTGTGTATAAGATTGATTGTAACTATTATATTTTAGTAGAATATCATTTAGAAACATTTCTTAAGTGAATATGTATAAGGAAGGTATCCTCCTTCCTTATTATAACGTATTATTTTATGCATGTGGTTGAATAACATTATAATTTTTTTTTCAAATGCGATAACAGGTCTATTCTTTGTTGCTCCACTGGATTAAAATTTTCTCGTTTTTGCTAAAATTAGACCTGATTTTTTTTTATAGTTCTCGATTTATCTTCTTTTTGTTTTTATATTGAAAAGATGAACTGTACAAGAAGTTCTCTTTAAAAGAGAACAAACCCTTTATCTATTTCATTTTAAGAACAGTTGGTACATAATTAAGCTACGAAGAACAGACCTAATATGTGATGCATATTATTTTACTGGTAATCAGTAGAAAAATAAGATGTTTTCTTCCATAGGACAATCCACCTTATAACAAAGGCGCATTTCGCATCGAAATCAATTTTCCCGCAGAATACCCCTTTAAACCACCAAGAATAAATTTCAAAACAAAGATATATCATCCGAATGTAGACGAAAAGGGTCAGATATGTTTGCCAATTATAAGTGCGGAACACTGGAAACCAGCTACAAAAACGGACCAAGGTCAGTTCGTGCATTTTCATTGATGATTACTTTATGTTTTGATAACGATTTGGAAAAACGCGCTTCTCTCTAAAGTTTAAATATAATTGCTGTTAATTGCAATTTACAAAAATTATATTTCTAAAAAAGAACAAACTCATATTTGTTTTCTAAGAAAAGCGAAAAATATCTCTTCAATTAAAAATGCTATTTACATTTACAGTGATCCAAGCTTTGATAGCATTAGTGAATGATCCTGAGCCCGAGCATCCCTTAAGAACGGATTTAGCTGAGGAATTTCTGAAGGATAGAAAAAAGTTTTTAAAAAATGCTGAAGAATTTACGAAAAAGCATGCCGAGAAGAGGCGAGAATCATCATCTTCTAACGAATAACCCCGAATGATAGCTTTACTTACCATCACCACCACGATGCCTGCCGCCTGTCAGCTGATTTAAACTCAAGCCAATGTATACCTATCTGTTAATCCCCGTGGAATCTCACAGATTCTCAAGTTGAGATGACTCTGTACAGTATTGGTTAACACCGACGATATGAATATACGCAAATTGTAATGTTTATAAGAAGTGGGATGAACTTTTCAGAGTACAGTAAATTATGATAAATAACTGTATCATATTGTATACAATTTATACTTGAAGTCATATGCAATTATACTTTGATTTATCATCGACAGATCGTTACATTCCAGCTTGATCCTGTAGGAATGTATACGATGATGAAAATGGTTCAGCATAGAGACGTCATGTTTGTCAGATATAGCAGCGTATGTAATACAGTATGTATTAAAGTACATATAATTTCCAATGTCGTTTAAGATGTTAATTTATAATTGCATTTCGCGCGCGAATTTATAGCTACTGCTTTATAACTGTTACTAATCTTAAGATTACAAATAATAAAAGAGAAACATTTATTTTCAATTTTTAATCAGTTTCATAGTAATTTGAATTGTAACAAATTAAAATTTTTTTCAATCTTGTGATTTTTATGATACGTGAATACAATTTTACGTTCTTCACATTGATTAATTTAATTTGATATATAAATTTTTTATTATTAACTCCAAGTGATAAGTTAATTTTCAATATCCAAATGTAAGATTTAGATTTTCTTCGCAGATGTCTCTGCAGATTTTATTTTATATGCTGTACAGAACTGTATCGAATTATCTTGGAGTACTTTAATATAAAATCTGATACATAAAATTTATTTACAGCGTTGTTTGACATGCTTTATTACTGAAAAACGTAAGAACCAAGAAGTAAAATGTTAATTTCTTTTCAAACGTTCGTTTAAAAAACATTATACCATAAAAAATAAGTGAAGTAATTAACAAAGTTACAACATAAATATAATTGAGAACATTGGAAAAGGGTCTCTAGTCATTTTTCTTTCCATTTGATTATTACAATTTCTGATTTCCACAGTGGGTTTAAACGGCTTATATTACGTGAAAGTTGTGTGAATATTCTTTTTATATGGCCTGGTAGTATACTTGAATGGGCAAAGAAGTTATAACTTCTATATTAAGTATATGTAATATAATATATATAACATAATATATAATACGAAATTGACAAAAGCTCCAATTGCTGGAAATGTCTTCTTTGTACTATGTGTGCTGTGTTTACCGAATACTTGTATAGAATTAAGAAATATAATATTTCAAGAGTAATAAGTTACATATTTTGATATAAACAACGTGCTATGAATTATTTCTCCCATTTAATGTATTTTTATGAGAATTTCTGTGTGATTATGCGAAATGATATTCATTATTTAGATTTCAATCTGTGATTCACATTTATGCAATAATTTATGACATTTTGAAAAGTATATAAAATACTAATGAAATTTTACTTTCATATTTATTTTTTAACAGCACATATAGATAAACAATTGTTTGTAAAATGCTATGAAGATTGAAAATGCTTAACAAGAAAATTTTTTTGTTAAAAATCTTTAACATTGTGAACGCATATACATATATATTTAATAACAAATTATTTTGTTACTAACAATTATGAAAATGACAAAATCGTGTTTTTATTGTTTTTGAAATTTTTGTCCTGTATTATATTCAAATTTCTTGAGACAATAAAACATTAACCATTATGATCGTTAATGTATCTGAAACATTGTAAAAATATTAATTGAATACTATTCATTATATTGGATATTATTACTTGTGTGAAAAATTTATACAGCTATTGTGCATATATGTGAATTGTATTCTCAACTGATGATAAACTTACAGTTCTATTGTTAAATCGTATGAATAACATTAGCATTTATTTTTATATTAGTATTACAAATATTAAGCCTATTCTACAATGTGTTCTTTGTTTCCTGTTTCTTGCTTTTTACATCTTACTTTTTTTCCTCTTTTTACCACTATTTTATCGACAATTTTCTGCTACACATTTCTCGTTTCTTTCAAAGTTCGTGAACTTTTATCTCGAGCGATAGAAAACAAAAAACAGGATAAGAGACAAAAAAAGAAAAGATGTAAAAAATAGCAGAAAGCAAAAAACAGGAAGCAAAAAGCACATTGTAAAACAGGTTTTATACATTATGTGTGCGTGTGAAAAGAGTGTGTGTGTGTGTGTGTGTGTGTGTGTGTGTGTGTGTGTAGATATATACATATATATGTATATATAATGTCACAGTCAAAGTGTTAACTTAGTAAATGTATACATTTTGACTAGTAAGTATATACATTTACTAAAGTTTAACACTTTAACTGTGATATGTATATAAACTTGACGAGAATAATTTTTGAGGGAAAAAATAGATATTTTGTATCTATATATATCTAGCGTATTAAATTTTGTATAGAAAATTAATGCATTGGGATGAGTGTTTCAGAAATAATAAGTGCTGTTATAGAATTTCAATTTTATTAAGTTTTGTGTAAGAAAGGATAGAACTTTCATTTAAATATTAAAACTCCATAATAAATAAAAAGAGAATACAAATAAAAATAAAATTGCGACACTAATCATTCGCCTTTCTTCACTATAATATAAAACCGTGCAATACAAGTTTAAATTGAACTTTAGCAGTTTATTAAGATCTTCATCTTTATTTAATCTCATGCGCACAATATACCGTTAACAAATTCTGCATCTCTAGATTTGTAGA